TGCTGCCGGCTGGAGCTGTGGGCGCTCTTCCTGCGGGAAGGGCAGGTAGCGAGCACCAAAAGTCCTGGGGAGCCCTTCGGACGCAGGGTTGAATGGGAGGGGTGGGGGATCCTGCGTGTGAACAGCTTGCAGCGTCTGCTGAGCAGTGAGGCCAGTGCCCTGCCTGTTGGCTAGGGAGGACACTGGGGATGCCCCTGGGGAGCTGCATGTCCCCTGTATGTGCTAAAGGGCAGGGTGGGTTCCCCCAAAGGCAGGTGGGCAGGCAGCCCCCGTGCCAGGGTGCAGCCCAGCCCAGGGGACCCTGAGCATCCCTGGGCGACCTCGGCACCCGCATGGCTGCGGAGGCGAGGGCACAGCACCAGCCAAGTCCCTGGTCCTCCACCTGTGGGATGGCTGGGGGAAGTGGGATCAGTGCCAGACTGGCCCTGGGGCCAGCCCCCGCCCCATGGCAGCTGCTGCAGGGACACATCCAGACCAGGTTGTTTACACCTCTCCGATGAGCTCCTGCTTCTTCTGGCCAACATCAAGCATCAAAAAGAAAATACTGAGGCGGGGGGGTGCTAAGGAGGCTGATCTGTATGCGAGTGAGCAGGAGGGCTCTCCCCGGGCAGCTGCTGGCATCGGGGTGGCTCCGGCGGGGAACCAAGAGCCCCAAAGTTTCCCAGGGATGGGGGGGACGGTGCGTGTGGCCGGAGAGGTGCTCAGTGTGGGCTGAGATGGGGTGAGCCTCTTGCCTCCCCTGCAGGCAGGGGGGAGGCAGAACCCCCTTTGTCCCCCCTTGCCCCCCAATTTAGCCACTCACCTAAGAACACCCCTGTGCTGGAAAGCCCTCTGCAGCCGGGGTGGGGGGGCTTCTTGCAGGCTGGGGGCTCCCCCATTGCCTTTGTTCCCTTCAGACCCTCCCCTTGCCTCTGACTTTCCTTTGCGGCAGCTCCCGTGCTTGCCAAAAGAATGCACTGGATGGAGCGAGGGAGCGAGCCGGGCGTGCGTGTGTGTGTGCGCGCTTGTGTGCGCGTGTGTTGCCACTGACTTCATTAAAGCAAGCTGTCCCTGAGCTGCAGAGGCGCGGCCGCCTTTAATTTTGTTGCCCGGACCCTT